TGAAGTGGATGTGCGATTCCAAACAAGCATGAATCTATTTGTAATACAAAAAAAATGCAGCCATACTCCCGTGCAAAAGTAAAAAAAATCACATGACACCAGGTTATAGTCCAATAGATTTATTGGAAGACACAAGCTTTCAGAGTCTCACTCCTTCAGGTGACACTTACACCTGAAGAAGAAAAGAGACTCCGAAAGCTTGTGTCTTCAAATAACCCTGTTGTACTATAACCTGGTACTGTGTGATTTTTTGACCTTGTCACCCCAGTCCAACACCGGCACCTCCACATCATACTCTTGTGCATACTGGAACACTTTTGATAGTATTCTGTAACTCCAGTTTCCTTATCTGTGCACTTAGCATTATTCCTTAGCATTCCCTTCACACATTTTTTAAGACTTGAAACTTGTGAAAAATCAGTTGATCGGTAATCGAAAACATCATCCCTTTTGAAAATGTAAAATGTTTTAAGATCAATCATGGGTTGCAATGTGCAGGTTTTGTAAGTGAAAGTAAAACGTTATGTCACATCAGTCCAAAAAGCAGAACTTCAATTTTGTTTTAGTTTTATCAAGAAATGCAGAAAACTGAGCTGAGCCTTTTAAAAAAATTCAACACTCTAATATGTAATGATGTATCTGAAATAATTCTTTTGTAGAGAAATCAATGAGGAGTTATGGAGAATACATCTGAATCTCTGCATAACATCAAAGGGCTAAAAGAGAGGAAACAAACAATCGCAGTTAATTTTATCTCTACCTACCTGTAGAAGTCTCCTGCACACTTGCAGGTGAGTTAAGAGGACTTGATCAAGACACACATTTTCTGATGTCAGAGCAAGGGTTCCTGTTGCTTTAACTCCTAAATCTCCATTCTTAGTGAAAGCGTGCTGACTATTGCCTTTATTGTACGGACCAATCCTGTCAAAGATAGGGAGTGTAAGAAAAATAAATCGAAACAAAGCACAGTACAGATAACAGCTTGCACTCAAGTTAATATTTAAAAGGAAAAACCTCAAGTTAGGGTCATATTAAAAGGTAGCCGAATCAGAATGCTTTAAACTTGTGCAACCGAGTGCAAAAACAGTGTTAAAAACCCAAAAGAACTGTGGATGCTGTAAGTCTGAAACAAAAACAAATTGCTGGAAAAACTCAGCAGGTCTGACAGCATCTGTGAAGAGAAATCAGAGTTAATGTATCGGGTCTGGTGATCCTTCCTCAAAACTTCTGAGGAAGGGTCACCAGATCCGAAACGTTGTCACTGATTTCTCTTCACAGATGCTGCCAGATCTGCTGAGCTTTTCCAGCAATTTCTGTTTTTGTTTGTGGCAAAAATAGTGTTGTCTAATTAGCTAGTGGGACCAAAGATAAGGCATACAGTAATACTCCAAATTCTAAGCTATATCATATACAGTTTTACTGAGATTTTTTGATTGCGTAGAAATTTCCTGGATTCAATTTTCCTAGAAATGTCAGTACAGAAGGAATTCCATTGATACCTTCACGACAGCTTCACATATTTATTTTAATTCAATTTCTCTGCTCTTTCAGTCTGCCCCCTCTTTTTCTCAACTGGATGCATTTATCACTTAAACACTGATTATCTCTCTTTTAACGTATTCCATACTTCCATAATATTTTGTCTGAGAAAGTATTGTAGGCAGAAGTTTTCTGTCCAACTAAAGATAAGGCTAAAAGTAGTTACTATTACTTAAGGATAAATGGTGCAGCAACATTTGGAGAGAATCATGGTTATCAATGTAAATACTGAAACATTACTCTTCAAAATGATTCATACCGTAATTAATTTGGGGAAAAAAGGGCGATTCACCCTTCGCCTCTCTATTTTCGGAGCTTGCTGCTTTTGCCCGTTCATTACCCATTAAATTTAGCACAGGAAGTTATGTCCTGGCCTTGCAAAGTTAGTACACTTTAATAATGAAGATAAATGCATGAGTAGAGAGATTAGATTCTTGGGATGTCTGGATCAGTACTGGGGAACTGGGACCAAAGTCCTTGCAAGGCTGTTTGCTATTGCTCTTGGGGAGGATTTAAATTATCTTACCATGGGTTTGAGAATTAGGAAGTAATATTAGAGAAGAAAAGCGATTTGTCCATAAAGATATGAGAAACAAATAATATCAAAGTAGGAATTAGGTGGAGTCACAACAAGAAGGAATGCAATTAGGCCTACGTTGCATGCGCATGTATGCATGGAGTTTGGTAAATATTTCCTAATCAGCCTGATCGGAGATTCTATGACACAGCTCCAGAGTAGATGGAACTTGAACCAGGCCTCCTGGTCCAGAGGAAGAGATGCTACCACTGCATCACAAGGACCCCACGGAGTATGTTAGGTAAGTAGGTTGGTGAGATATAGATGGTAATAGCCTTGTGCAAACTTGATACTATGATAACAGACACTTAGATCTCAAAAAGGCAGGAAAAACTATTACTGAATGCAAGGTGTTCAGGAAATGTAAAGAGAAAAAAACCAAGGTCTGTGACAATACTAACAGGAGAATAGAATAATGCTCAAAAGAAAACATCCTAGAAGGTCAAGTACTGAAACTCTGGTTAGGTTATGAAATGATAGAGGTTCCATAGCACTACTGGATGTATTTTATAGGCTGCCAATTATGAGAAAGATATGGAGGAATAAGTTTACAAGGAAAATACGGGGAGTTGCAAAAATTAGAGTAGTTAGCCTGTAGATCAACTGTACTTGGATTTCTGGACGGTGTTTGATAACAAAGGGGCCTTCATTATCTTAATATTGACTGAGATAATACTATAAAATGAGTTTCTGAAATGTTCAGCCCAGTTTTCTGTATCAGGATTTCTCTAATTCAACACTGAGTGAGACACCATAAGTGAGAGGCTAGAAAACCCCAACAGGTCAGACAGCATCAGAGGAGCGGGAAAGTCCACGTTTCGGGCTGATACATTGACCTTCCCGCTCCTCTGATGCTGTCTGACTTGCTGTGCTTTTCCAGCCTCACACCTATAGAATCTGGCTTCGAGCATCTGCAGTCCTTATTGCCTCTAAGTCACTGAGTGAGACACTACTGGAACTAGTTCTGATGAATGAGGCAAATGAATCAAGCATCAGGACTGCAACATTTAGGGGACACTGATTGCAGTACCATATGTTTTAGTTTCGTTATGAAAAGAAGAATCCAGAGAAAAAATAACTAATTAGGGAAGGCAAATTTCAATGGAGTGAGGGCTAATCTCACTCAAATATTCAAAGCTTAGCAAGCAATTCCCTCAGTTATTCACAATATATATTAATAATTTAAATGGGAGAACTAAATGTAATATCTCCAAGTTTGCAGACAACCACAGAGCTGGATGGGTGAGTGAGCTGTGAGGAGGATGCAGAGATGCTGCAGTGTGATTTGACCAAGTTGAGTAAGTGCACAATTGCATGGCAGACAAAGTATAACATGGATAAATGAGGTTATCTGCTTTGGTAGCAAAAAACAGCATGGTGGATTATTACTGAATGGCAACAGATTGTGAAAGGGGAAGGTGCATCAATACCTTGTACATTAAACACTTAAAGTAAGCATGCAGGAACAGCAAACAGTAAAAGCAGCAAATGGCACGTTGGCCTCCATGGTGAAAGCATTTGTGTACAGGAGCTAAGACATCTTGCTGCAATTGTACTGATCCTTGGTGAGGCCAACCTGAAGGATTGTGTAGAATTTTGGTCTCCTTATCAGTGAAGGACATTCTGGATATGCAGGGAGTACAACAAAGGATTACCAGACTGACTCCTGGGATGGCAGAACTGACCATATGAAGAGAGATGGATCAGTAAGGCCTAAATTCACTGGAATTATGAAGAATGAGGGAGGGAACCAATTATAACATGACTAGACAGGGTAAAAGCAGGAATGATGATCCTCATGGCTGGGGTGTCCAGAACCAAGGTTACAGTTTAAAGATACTGGGTAGGCCATTTAGGACTACGATGAGAAATTTCTTCACCTCAGTGGTGAGTCAAAGGAATTCTTTGCCACAGAAAGCAGCTGGTGCCAAAACATTGAACTTTTTGCAAAAGGGAGATATAGTTCTTAGGGCTAAAGGGAACAAAGGGTATGAGGCAAAAGTGGGAACAGGGTATTGAGTTGGATGATCAGCCATAGGAGACGTGAAAGTCTGAATGGCCTACACCTCCAAATTTCTATGTTTCTACGTAATACTGTAATGAACCTACTGACTACCTTTAAAGATGGGATGGTTTGGATACAGTTAAGGTAACATTCCCCTGAGGGGAAACAGGGGGACAAATAAAGGCAGAGGCCTTTGCATAATGAAAAGGATAGAAAAGAAGAAGAAGAAAAATGTTGCACATTTCCAATGTTGGGTTGATAATACAATTGAGTCACAAAAGATTAGTGTGCAACCTCAAAATTGGCCAGTTGTTCCTAACCAGACTTCAAGAATAACAGATCCGACAAAAAGTTTATAACTTAAGCAGAACTTAACAATTTATTATTATTACTTTAACTTTGGTAGAGTGAGGATAAACTACAAGGTAATCTTATTAATGCCAATGATTTAAATCCTATCTTCTTTAATCATAAACCCCACTCTCACACAGAGACACATTGTTTTAGGTCATGATCCTACACACCCACTAGGACATGACTGAAAGGTTCCTCAAAACCCTGTATGGAAATTAAGGTCACTGATCTCAACATTTCCTCTGGAGTCTATCTTTCTCATGGGGATATATCTTTGATAAATGTTATGAAAAATCTTCTTAAATGTCTGCCACTGCATCTCTACAGAATTATGCTTTAACATCATGTTCAAGTTCATTTTAATCAGTTCTGCCTTTACCATTGTATTTGTATTTGCATTTATTTAAATTGAAGTTGCTAACCTTGTATCCACACCTCTCACCCTAAACTGATTTTTAAAATTATTTTAAGATTGTGGTTGTGGCTGGTTAAATCAGCATTTATAGTCCATCCCTAATTGCCCTAGAGAGAATGTGGCTGAGCTGCCTTCTTGAACTACTGCAGTACATCACAATACTTTAAGGAAGGAAAGTCAATGATTTTGATACAGCAACAGGCTTGGAAGAGAATTTTCAGATGGTGATGCTCACATGCATCTGCTGTCTTTGTCCTTTTAGGTGATGGAGTGTGTGGATTTAGAAGATACTGTTGAAAGAGCCTTTTTGAGTTGCTGCCGTGCATCATGTAGGTGATACATACTACTCCCACTCTGCATTTGTGATTGAAGGCTTTGTCCTGGATGGTGTTGAGCTCTTAGAGTGCACCCATCCAAGCAACAGGAGAGTATTCCATTTGTAATGCTGACTTCTATCTTGTTGATGATGGATAGAATATGGGGAATCAGGAGGCAAGTTACTTATCACAGAATTGCTAGCCTCTGACCTGCTTTTATAGCTATGGTATTTGTAAGGCTAGTCCAGATCAGTTTCTGTTCAATGACGTTCCCAGAATTTCAAAAGTGGAGGAATCAGTGATGATAATGCCATTGATTCTCAAAGGAAGTTGGCTAGATTCTCTCTTGTTCAAGACAATAAAATTCCATTATGTTGTGATCACTTGAAACATCACAAAGACAGGATGGAGGAGTGGATAGACATATGGCTTATGAAAAATTCATGCAGAGATATATGAAGTGATACATTTTGGCAGGAAGAATGTGGAGAATCTACATAGTCAAGTATTCAATTCTAAATGGAGCAGAAAGAGCTGCAATATACGTGCACAAATCATTGAAGATGTCACAGAATATTGAGAAAAATACTACTAATTAGGCATGAGGAATTTTGTGTTTCATGAATAGACCAAATGCAAAAGCTAGGAAATAATTGTGAAACTTCATAGAACACTGGTTCAATCTCAAGTGTAGTACGACGTGCAATTCTGATCACCACGTGTGAAGGCATTAGAGAGGAGTGAGAATGATTTCACGGTCAGGGGACTTCAGTGAAATGGAAAGACCAGAGAAGAGAATGTTGCAAGGAGATTCAATAGAATGGTCAAACTCATGAGTCTGGACAAATTCAATAGGGAGAAACCATTCTCTTTGATGGAAGGGTCAAGAATCAGAGAGCATTGATTTAAGGTGAATGACAAAACATGAAGGACATTTTTACACAGAGTGTCCTTAGAATCTGGAATGCACTGCTTCAGAATGTGGTAGAGACAAATTCAAAGGGAATTTGATAATTATCCGGGGAAAAAAAAATACAGGTCTATAGGGAAAGGATGAGGGAGTGGGACTAAGCTGAAGCCCTTGCACAGAACTAGCCTGGATCATTTTTTCTGTACTGTAACCAAGCTATGATTCCTTTATGCTTTATTTGTTAATTTGGTTACTCTGTTCTTTGCCCTGTCCACTCAGGTTAGGAATATCTTGTTTCCTGCATTGCACCATTTTTAACAACTTTGTCAGCAATTTTTGTTTCAGTAGAAGAATGCAAAAGCAAGTCTAAATAACAGCAAAGAGCATTAGATGGCCTACTGCAGCAACTTATGGCCAATTTTAATTTATACCTTTATGTTTCCATTGTTAATTTCAAACTTTTTGTAACGTGGAAATAAAGTCTTCCATTTATCCACACAAATCATTTCATAATTTTATGTATTTCTGCTAAAATGTATTATATATAGTGTTTTCTCAAATAGTAAAAATATAGAATTAAACTTTTAACCAAGATAACTAAGACAATTTCACAAAAATGATCTATTTGAGGTATCCACAGACAAAAATAACCTGAATAATTGAATTTGATTGTAGTGTTTCTATCGACCCCTCCCTCGGTAAATGCAATCCTGGTTTTTATAATCTTTCATCATAATCGGATCTGATGTTCATGGATATAAAAGCCCAAGGTATTTTAACTATAATCCCTCCAGCTCCATTCTGGTGAGCATGTGCTGCACCACTTTGAAGACCAATGTATCATCTCTCAGGGTTCAACATTGTGCTCTACGTGGCTTAATTTAGACTCTGCACAACTGAAGCATCACTCCCTTGCCTTTTTATTCTAATCCCCCAGGAAAGAAGAGCCAATTTTAAATTGCGATAGGGTTAGGGTTAGGGTTACTAACATTTAGTGATTCACATAAATGCACATTTAAATTGCTGGCTCCGACAGCTTTTAGTTTCTCACCAGTAAAAAAAAAAATTATTTGAATTGCTCAAATTCAAAGATCACAATTCCATCAAATCCCATCTGCCATAATTTCAAGACATGCTGAATTAGTCTATGTTCTTTTATAAATTGTTCACATCCACATGACTTAATGTGCTTCCTAATTTAGTGTCATTTACAAGCTAAAACACACAAGTTGTCTGTACTTTTATCTAGTACCTTACACAAACAATGAAAAGCTGTAATTCCAATTAAGATCTCTAAATATTACCACTTGTTGCATCATGTCCTATTAAAAGGGACAATTCTTGAAAATACATCATATATACAGCTATTTCAATCATAAAATATAGAACTAAACCTCCATCCAAGATAACTAAGACATATTTCAAGACAATGATCTGTTTGGGGTATCCATAAACTAAACTAAACCAAGCATTTGGAAGGGCAAATCAAAGCAGGACTTATACGTTTAATGGTAAGGCCCTAGGGAGTGTTGCTAAACAAAGAGAACTTGGCGTGCAGGTTCATTATTCCTTGAACGTAGAGTTGCAGGTTGATAGGATGTTGAAGAAGGTGTTTGGTACGCTTGCCTTTATTCGTCAGTGCATTGGGTATAGGAGTTGGGAGGGCATGTTGTGGCTGTACAGGACATTGGTTAGGCCACTATTGGAATACTGCTTGCAATTCTGGTCTCCCTGCTACAGGAAGGATGTTGTGAAACTTGTAAGCGTTCAGAGAAGATTTACAAGGACGGTGCCAGGGTTGGAGGGTTTGAGCTATAGGGAGAGGCTGAATAGACTGGGGCTATTTTCCCTGAGTGCCAGAGGCTGAGGGTGACCTTTATAGAGGTTTATAAAATTATAAGGGGCATGGATAGGGTGAATAGCCAAAGTCTTCTCCCCGCTCCAGGGATTCCAAAACTAGAGGGCATTTGTTTAAGGTGAGAGGGGAAAGATTTAAAAGGAATCTAAGGGGCAACTTTTTCCACACAGAGGGTGGTGTGTATATGGAATCAACTGCCAGAGGATTTGGTGGAGGCTGGTACAATTACAACATTTGAAAGGCATCTGGATGGGTATATGAATAGGAAGGGTTTAAAGGGATATGGGCCAAATGCTGTCAAATGGGAATAGATTTATTTAGGATATCTGGTCAGCATGGACGAGTTGGACTGAAGGGTCTGTTTCCGCGTTGTACATCTCTATGATTTTATGACTCTAATTGAATTGGACTGTAGTATTATAATTAGTTGGTTATGCATTCAAGAGGTACAACTCTATCTTGTTTGAAAACATGTTGTTGGCAATGAAAGCATAGCGTCGGGCTTCTAGGCATTTTTCATTTACCTACCTTTCATCCTTTATCCTAATGCTCCCAGAGCATGAAATATTATCTTCACTTGAATCAGTATTTAGGAAGTTGAAGCTTTCTAAGACAGTTTCAACAGTCAGACTGACAGTAGATGCACTTGAGCTGTCTTTTGCTTCTCTCTGTTTTTTAAAAAAAACAACTTTTAAAACAAAAGTTTAAATCAGTTTAAATTGTGTCATCATATCACAATTAATCAAAATCATTGCAGTATAAATTACACCCCTCAAGATCCTCACTCATTGTAGTAAAAATATGGTAATTTGTAGCAATGTGCAAGGTATTATCATGTTTAGACGATTAAAGTTTGTTCAATATGTCACAATTTGCTATCTGAAATATTATTGCTTAAATCTGGTGTTATGCAATAATGTACTTTCCTAACTAGCCTAATAGATTTATCAACAGCTGTGTTAAGAAAACAGATATTTGACCACCAGATGTTGAATAATATGAAACAGTAGCCTGGACCAAAATACTTAGAACATTGAGTCTTCTTTCAAACACATTCCAAATCTTTTCTCTGAGGATGTGGGGCATAATTGGATAATCAGAACTGGCTCAAAATTGTAATGTTAACCTACCCTTTCAGATGCTAACAGACCTGCTGAGATTTGAAACTTCTTTGGTTTAATTAGTTTTTCTTTCAAAGGTAAATTTGACTATCAAAACAAATTAGTTTAATGTAGTGAGTAGGCACGACCAAGTTTTCCTCAGAATACTAAATGTTGAAAATAGTTATTTTCCTCTTATGCTACCTTTGCTCAGAACAAATTCAATCCATCTTTTTAAAAAAAAAAAAAGCCTCCGAACCTCCAGTAACTCAAGGTAAAATACTGTTTAATAAATGGAAGCCTGGGAATTGCCAGAAGCAAGAAGAGAATCATCAACTGAGAGAACCAAAAGACACCTTAAAAGGTGGCAGCAGTAGTGGACCATTCAGCCCATTAGGATTTTTTTCCTGCCTTTTCCCTATAAACCCTTTATTTCCTTAATGATTAAAATCTGTCTATGTCAGTCTTACCATAAAGTTACAGTTGCATAGACAGATCTTCCTGAGTTTAGTCATAAAACCCTAAAGATTATAAAGAATCAAAATAAGTCATATCTAGGTTAAAGCACTCAAAGAAGAGCATGACACTTAAGCAGAAATTATGAATAAAACATTTGTTTAAATCAAGGCATGTATATTTTAGGTTGTTCCACTGTTTCATTCGAATAAACCTGTTTTATAGCCAGGAGAACTTTTCACACTGAGAATGTAACCACATTTATTGAGATGAAATAGCCCTGCTAGAAAATGCAATTGCAATTATTAATTAATTTTCAACACCAGCCCTGTGACCCTTCAGTAGTTCTGACAAAGGGTCACTGGACTCCAAACATTAGCTCTGTTTTTCTCTCTGCAGGTGCAGCCACAACTGCTGAGTTTCTCCAGCACTTTCTATTTTTGTTCCAGATCTATAGTGTCCACAGTTTTTTGTTTTATAATCCATTTTCAATGTTAGTCATATAACATGAGCATTTGCACAGTTGAATCTAAGCCCAGTTCCACAAATAGGCTTCTACTGACTACCAATAAATCATTAGACTCGTGTCATTTACCAAACAGAGAGGGGCCATTTGGCCCATCGAGACGATGCTCGCTCTCCTTGGAGCAATCTTCTCCATCCCATTCCATGTCTGACCCCTATTGCCCTGCAAGTTTATTTCCTTAAAGTGTCCATCCAATTTCCTGTAAAAAAATTTTGATTGATTTTGCTTCCACCAACCACCTTTGTGGGACATAACCACTTTCTGCATAAAATGTTCTTCTTCCTCATAATCCCCCTGCATCTCTTCAGCAAAATCACAAGTCCCTAGTCTTTGTACCATCAGCTACCAGCAGGCTTAACTAAGCCTGTTATTTCTCCACACAGTCTCCTTTGTTTCAAGAAAAACAATGCCAGCTTTTCCAACCTAATCTTGAAACTGGATTCATTCTGGTAAATCCCCTGTGCACTTTCCGAAGGAGCTTACATACCTTTCCTACACTTTAGTGACCAGAGCTGAATGCCACAATTTAACTCCATTTATGAAGCTAAACACCCCAAATGACTTCCTCACCAATCTCTCAAAATGTTCTACTAATTTCATAGATTGATGCACATGGTCCCCCAGATACTTCTGTTCCTGCACTTTTTAGAATTGAGCTAAATCTCACCTCTTCCCAATCTTTTTGTCAAAATCCAACATCTCTCTTAGCTATTTTAAATTCTATCAGCCACTTGCTTACCCATTCTGCTAATATATCCCTGTTTTGTTTCAGATAATTTATGTTTTTTTTGCCACTCCTCCAAGTTTCGTATCATTAGCAAATTTTGAAATGTTACTCTGTATTCCAAAGTCCAAGCAAATTACATGTAGCACAAAAAGCAGTGATCCTAGCATTAACCCTTGGGGAACTTCCACTGTGGTACGTTCTCCATTCTGAAGAACAACCATTTACTAAGTTCAAGGGATAGACAGACTTAAGCAATTGCCCAACCAACAGTTCAGATCTAAGCTCTACAGTCATGAACAATAAATAAATTGATCTGGAGGAGCAGGCTTTTCAAAAGTTCCTATCGTCAATAATGAAGGAACCCAGCACATCAGTGGAAAAGACAAGGCTGAAGCAACTGCAGCAAGCTTCAGCCAGAAGTGTATGATTCACGAGCCCTGAATATTACTATTCCGCCATAGGACTTGAGATGGGCTCAAGAATTGGCTGAGACTGCACCAAGCTTCCACTAGGATTGCCCAGTAAGTCCTGTTCAAAGATAGCAGGAAAAGTCCAATCTGGTCAATTACTGCCCCGTCAGTCTACCCTCAATCATAATCACATAATGGAATTATGTCATTAACAATGCCATCAAGTGAGTCACACTCAGCAATAACCTGCTTTAGAACATTCAATTGGGGTTGAATACTAGGCCACTAAGCTCCCGATCTGAATATCATTTTGGCCCAAATATGGCTAAAAGAGCTGAACTCCAGAGGTGTGGTGAGAATGATTGTTCTTAGTCAGCGTTTGACCATGAGCGGCAATGTGGTATTTTCCCAGATAACCATTCTTGCTAACTTGAGGTATTTGCCACTTCTGCCACCATGTGCTTCTGGGTAAAAGGTTAGTATTGGGTAAAGGCGATTTGAAACAGTTTATTGCTACTAATCTTCTTTTGTTTTTGCTTTACCTTGGGTCTGTCTAGTGATCAGTGTTTGAGGATATACTACCATAAAGTATCTATAGAAGAGCACAGTTTTCCAATAACACCAAAGTCTATTGAATGAAAAGAATAAGTAACAACTACATTTGGTCAGACATAATTACTAGGTCCTTCCTCTGTGCTCTCCAAAAGCTAAACTAGAACTCTTATGTCTACCAGCAGACTGCAAGGAGACAATGTAACATGAATAGTAACCTCTTCATAAGTATTACTTTATACTGCAACATCAAGGAGCCTTAGCGAAACTTATCAATGGGAATCAGGGAATACTCCGGTTGGAGTTGTACCTAATACACACAGATGACTGCTTGAGGTCAATCATATCAGAACAAGGACATTGCTGACAGAGTTCTGCAATGTCATGTCCTAGGCCTAAACATCTTCAGCTACTTTACCTTCTTACATCATGAGTCTTCAGCCAATTCAGTTCACTTCATGGGATAGCAAGAAACAATTGGAGGCACAGGTTACTGCAAAGGCTATGGACACTGCCACATTCTGGTGATAGCACCAAACACCTGTGCTCCAGAACTTACCACACCACTCTCCAAACTATTCCAGTTCAGCTACAACACTGGCTTCTACCTGACACTGTGGAAAATTGCCCAGGTCTCTCCTGTACACAAAATGCAGGACATGTACAACCTGCCAATTACTGCCCCATCAGTCCACTCTCAATCATCAATAAAGTGATGGAAAGTGTCATCAAAAGTTCCACTAAGCAACACCTGTTCATGGATGCCCAGTTTGGGTTCTGCCTGGGCTACTCAGCTCCTGCACTCGTTACAGTCTTAGCTCAAACATGGACTGAATGAGCTTTGGGGTGAGTGAGAGTGTGTTCCCTGGATATCAAGGCTGCATTTGATTGGGTGTGACATCAAGGTGTCCTAGTAAACTGGAGTCAATGAGAATAAGGGAGTAAATTTGCCACTGGTTGTAGTCACAATTAGCACAAAATAAGATGCTTGTGGTTGTCGGAGTTCCATCATCTCAGCTCAAGGACATCTTTACAGGAATTGTTCGGAGTAGTGTCCAAGGCCTAATAATCCTCAACTGCTTCATCAATGACCTTCCCCTTCCCCGAGCCCCCATCATAGGGTCAGAATTAGAGATGTTTGCTGATGAATGCTCAATGTTCAAAAACATTTGCATTCCTCAGATACTGAAACAGTCTATGTCCAAATGCAGGCAGACCCAAACAATATCCAGACTTGAGTGGAAAAATGATCAAAAACGTTCACCGCACACAAATGCCAGGCATTGACCACTTTCAATTAGAGACAATGTAACCATCACCCCCAGACATTCAATGGTTTTACTATCTCAGAATACCCCATTATCAACACTGTGTTACCATTGACCAGAAACTAAAGTGTATTAACCATATGAATACAATAGTTATGACAGTAAGTGAGAGAGTAGGATTACTGCAGCAAGTAACTCACTGGATTCCCCCAAGTCCATGTTCCACAAGGCACAACTCGCGAGTGTGATGGAATATTCCCAACATGCTTGGGTGGGTGCAGTTCCAACAATACTCAAAAATTTGACACCATCCAAAACAAAGCTGCCTGCTTGATTGACACCACATCCAAAAACATCCATTCCCTCCTCTACCAACGCTTAGTAACAACAGTGTGTACCATCTCCAAGATGCACTGCAGGAATTCACCAAAGATCCTTAGACAGCACTTTCCAAATTCATGACCATTACCACACACAACCTGGGATGCAAGGTATCTGGACCAACTGGTAAAACTACCCTAACCATAGGCAGCTTTTCTATCCCTTTCAATTTTCACACTATCCATGGCCTTCAATTTCTCTGCTTCCACCGATATTTTGTTAGCATCCGCTTCTTTAGTAAATAGTGATGCAAAAACTCATTGAGTTGCACCTTGAAGTAAATGTCACCTCCTTTGCCTCTAATAGGATAGACGGACAGAAGACTTTCAGGTTTCCTTTTATATTAACTGCCATCATATTCTCATAATCTATCTTTGACAGTCTTACTTTCATCTTCACACACCCCGCACCCACCCCCACCCCTTAACCTTGTGTTTTTGAGCTGACTTCGGATTTCTGACAATTAATCTGACGTTCATCATGCACATGCATCCTCCTTTTTTGTTTCTCCTTAGTCTTTATCTCCCTCGTTGTTCACAGAACCGCTTTTTGTCTTCCTTTTTACCCTTGTTGGAATGTACCTAGTCTGGATCTGAAGTATTTCTTTCTTAAAGATCACTGTTTTTTTCCAGTTTCATTTTACACTGACCTAATTCCTTCTCATGGAGATTAAACCTCTTCCAAATTAGAAGTTCTATCTTAGATTGTTCCTCACTCTTCTCCATTAACTTAGTCACTCTTATCCCAGTGCTACCCATAACTCTCTTGGTTCAGTTGGCCCCGCTCCAAATCCAGCAATGCCTCTTTTCTAGTTGGACCAAAAACATACTGGATGAAGGAAGTTCTAAACACATATCAGAAATTCCTTATCCCTCTTACACTCTAACATTATTCCAAATGATATTTTGGTAGTTAAGATGGTTTAGAAATAAGACTCTCTAGTTCTGGCGCATCTCTATAATTTCCTTGCAGATATATTCCTTTTTTTTTTCTCTCACTTTTTTGGAGGTCAAAAGAATAACATGCCCATACCCTTCCTGTTTCTCAATTTCAACCAAATGCACTCTATCTGTGCCCCCTCAAGCCCATCCCTTCTTTCCAACACTGCAAGTTGATATATTTCTGAATCTGGTTCTGCCCCGACCTCAAGTTTCTGGATGTGAATGTAATCTAGTAATACATTAATATTTCAAGAACACATTGACATCCAACTTGGAAATTCTGAATCCAAAATGATGAAAGCTTTACAAGCTATTTAAGGTTTGACTATAAAATAGGATGATTTTATTAGATAATGAAGTACTTTCCAACCTGTACTTTCCTGAAAATACTAAAATATTCATTTCAATATTCATTTATAAATAAAGATAATTGTTGGAGAAACACTAGCACCATACCTTCAGAAAATCTCTGAAATGCAGAATCTGCTGCTCTAGTCTTTGAAGTTCCCTGTAATTTCTTTGATCAGTCCTTAGAATAATTAATATTTCTTGCAGTATGGTCCCTATATTTACTGAAATAAATTCCATGCTTATGTTCTTTCCAGAAGACATTGAAGTGCTGTCCTGCTGTGTACTGAATACTGTCAAAGTTCTCTGTGGACCTAATGGTTTGGTAAGATCTGCATTCCTGATGTGGCCAGTTGAGTTCCATTCAGCATATTTCCCAGTACATAGCTGAAATCTGTGATACGGTTTGATGTGCAAAGCAGATGTTGCCGTTGCTGAACAACTTTGAAATTGTTTGTTTGGTATTGAATCTTTTTGAAATTCTCTTTGCTTTGGATATCTTGATTCTGCATAAGGTGATGGTACAGCCTTTTCTGTAGGGACTCCTCCTTGCAGGCTATAGGATAATTCCACAGATGGGTCTTGAATTGCTAATGTATTATCAGTGCAATGACTGTTTCCTTGTTTGTCTGTATTTGCATAGTTGTAAAATTTCTCATTCTCTGGTACAGATGACAAATTTGTATTGTGGTATCCATTTCCTAAGTGATTAAAGATAAAATGTCCTTTTGTTTCATTGCATAATAAAGGTAGTGTCTCCTCTTGTCCAATGTGCTGCTTGCGACAGAATAGAAAATAGAGGATTAATATATTCATTCACAAAGATTGTGTTAAGAAATCACCAAGTTATGTTATTGAGGTATTCACATTTGCAATTCATGCTATTTCATACAAGACATGTCAATACAAGACTATATCATACTGTCTACACTTAAGTGTCAACACCTGGCAGCAATTTCCCCTTATGATTAGTTTTTTTTTATCTTGGACTGCTAAAGGTTATAGAAGTGCATTGTTCATTGCAATGACACATTCATGTTGAAATACTCACAGAGAGGTACTTGTCCCTGAAGCTCGGTGTGCTGGGAGGTGTCCAGTTATACACAGAGCCTTTGCGACTTGGCAAAGAGAATTTTGAGATTGATCCAGATGTCACTGAGACTTCATCATTATCAAATGGACTGTGATAAAGCAAAGCGTAGGAGAGAAATTAAAAACGGGCATTGAAATACAAAAATTCGTTCTAGATTTCTGAATGATATTGCTGAAAGAATAATGTTTCATTTTGTCACATGTGTCTTATTTTCACTCTGGGGGAGTGATTACATTTGGGGGCGTACTGAAGGAGTGGAAGCAGGATAAAGTTAAACCACATACACCTGGATACAGTCAGGAAGTGGCCTCGGGTGCTGCCAAGTGCTGAGGCAGGCTGTTTGAAACATTCATCTCAGTTCTTTGCAAGTTCATCCTGGTTGTTTTCTTAAACATTAATCCTTCTTGTACTTACTTCTCATACCCCTTACTTAAGATGGTATCATGTGTGGTGACATTATACACTTTTCATTGTATTCCTGTGCTTCTGTACTTGAGTACATGTGACAATAAATCTAAATTCCAGCCACTTCCCAGGTCAATACATATAAACCCATGATCTGGCCCTCACTCCCATGTCCCCTCATAATCCCTATGCAAAATTAGTGACAACTCATAATAGGTAAGGCCCTGATCCATCACCCTTTGCCCCATACATTGTCCATGCCAATTCCAAATATCCATCGTAGGCAGATATCAAAATCCAAGCTTGTTTGAAACATTCAAAATACCTGTTACAGAATTCACTATATAAAATAATATTTCCATTCATGAAAGTCATTCAATACATTTAAATTCCCTGAAATATTTAACCTCTCAAAAAATCAAGAATTTCTATTCATAACCTCACATCAAAAGACAGTTAATCTTTTAATAACATATTTGAGCTGTGAATGAAACTGTAAATTTACATCACCAACGGTGAGAATGACAGGCCGTGGAAAGTAGCCAAGTATTAACAAAAGTTATACCAGCTACCAGCTCGGTGAACAAATCAAAAACCCAAGCTATAAGTCTTCTCAAAAACTTCAAATATAACAAAAGTACTTGGGGTCAACAAACAACTATTGAATATGCTAGAACAGCTTTTTTTTCACTTCTCATAGACACAGTTAGACTTAATAGTACAGAACTTGAGTAATGGTGAGAAGAATTAAGCTGTCAATGATTTTCATCATGCACTCATTCAGACTGATGAATGAATTCCAAATTTCAAAGGAAATAACAACTTGCACCACCTGAAAAACAGGGTGCTGATTGGTTGGCAAGTGCTCTTAATTGGCTGAGTTATCATCCATGCTAATACATCCCCAACATCATGTGGTATCTTATCAAATGATTTTATAAATACAAATACATGACATAGAATTTAATAAATCAGCCACATGTGAAAAATGTGACACAACAGTAAAGAGTTTTTTTTGTAAAACAACTCCCCAAATGATTTTCACTCAGAGATAGTAAGAACTGCCGATGCTGGAGGCTGAGATAACGCAGTGTGGAACTGGAGGATGACGCCACCTGGAAACTGGAGGAGCAGCACCACATCTTGGAAGCCTACAACCCAATGGCCTCAATGTGGACTTTACTAGCTTCAAAATCTCCCCACCCCCGTCCTCATCCCAAGACCAACTCTCCCTCTCATCCCCGCCTCCTTGACCTGTCCGTCTTCTCTCCCACCTATCCGCTCCTCCCACCTCACTGACCAACCCCACCACTACCAAACTGCTATCACCATCCTACCTACCTTACCCAGCCCAACCCCTCCCCCTATTTATTTCAGCCCCCTTCCCCTCCCCCATTTCTGAAGAAGGGTCCTGACCCGAAACATCAGCTTTCCTGCTCTTGTGATGCTGCCTGGCCTGCTGTGTTCCTCCAGCTCCACACTGTGTTACCCGAAATGATTTTGCTGCGTCAGATTAATTACTGAATAATCTGACAAAAACACAAGTCTATAGGAGTTTGAACAATGTGAGCTATGGAAAATCACGTGTGAATTATTGAGTGTGGCCTTTCTCAGCATCGGGAGCAACTCATTGCATTTCCAAACAAAGTTCTTGGCATTGAGATGAGCTTCTTATGAGACAGCAGTGAGATGCCTCTTAGCATAGATTTCAGGAGGTTTCCAATTTACAAACGTCCAACTTATGAACGCTTGTAAATATGAGCACAATCCCATTTATGGTTGTAATTTTAAAGATCCAGCAAACAAACATTTTCTGTACCTACAAACAGCTGTTTTTCATTGTTCTAGATTGTGTTCTGACTTGTGTACAATTTGACTTGAGAATGGACTCCAGAATGAAACCTATTCGCAACCAGGGGACTGTCTGTATTGTTTGTTGCCAGCCTCGTTAACTGCAAGGCCAAATAAGACAGGTCCTCTCCACCCCAGTTTAGGACAGTAGGACTGCATGTGGGAGGCAAGGAAAAGAAAACCTTCTGATGGCACTTAAGAGGCATTATAAATACATAATCGCATTAGTAAATATGTGTTCATTTCTCATCATCGTTAGCCATATGAGCATCTGTAATTTTAGCTGCAATTCAAGAAATTAAGGTACAGAGGCTAGCCATCCTTCGTGCCACACGATGTTCTAAATCTCCCTGAGCAATAGCTACCCTTTCTATAGTGCCACCACTAACATGAAACTTTATCATAATTGAATGAGAGAGCATCAGATATTATGAAGGCTCCCATCAGTTTGTAAGCTTAACTTCTATAAAACAGGAAAAACGTAAAAAGATCAAAGTGGTGAGCTGCTCTTACAGTTGGGATTAGACAGAGGATGCTGGCCTCAGCAACATCAAACATTGTCAGTGAAAGGTGACTGCATACAACGCAGTTCTATTGGGCAATGTTCACAAAGAAGTCCTGCTTGTGTTGCTTTGGTTAACACTGAAGCAGAGTAGGATGCTGAAGGTGCAGTTCTGTTTGTTCTTAGTCACCACAATGCTGCAGCTCTCATGAATCCTCAACATCCATCACATAGCTTTGGTGTCCAGTTGTCTGAAGCAGAAACCCAAGGATTAACCAGCATCCTTTGTCTACTGCTGTATGGGAACCTGATCCACTGTGGTTCTCCTGCATTTCTGCTGCATTATGAGGGCACCTATGACTGGAAAATCAATATTAGGAGACGGCTCCACACCCACTGGAGACTGATGCTTTGTCCTCAGCTTTCAGACACAAGTTTTTCTCATCCATTCATGTGGAAGCTGTCAGATATATACTGTTCAAGCCATTTGTCACACATACAGTGGGAGATTGTGTGTGTGGTAGCAAAGGACAGGACAAGTTAACAGCTAAATATCATGATCAGTTCCACCAAGTATTACTGATAAACATAATCACTTTGTTATAGAAAGGACAAGTCTTACTAATTTAGTTTATTGTGAAGTAACTAGGACGATTGGTGAGGATAGTGAGGGGATCTTGTCCACATGAATTTTAATAAGATATTTGACAAGACCCAACAACGGTTGACTGGTCAGAAAAAGAGTAAAGCCCATGGGATACAGGGGAATGTGGGAAGTGGGATCCAGAATTGGCTCGGTGACAGGAAACAAAGGGTAATGGTTGATGGATACTTTTCTGAATAGAAAGCATTTTCCAGTGCTGCTCAGTGGGCTTACAGTTGAGTCCCTTGCCATTTGTGGAATGTATTCATGATTTAGAACAAAGTGTGGGAGAATTTGGCAGAAGTGCTAGTGAAGAGGATGGCTGTCGACTGCAGGATAATATCAATGGTATAGTTGAGGGCAGAAAAGTGCAAATGGGATTCAATGCAGAGAACCACGATAAACACATTTGGGATTGATAAACAAAGAAAGAGAATGCCCAATAAACGGGAGGATATTAAAAGAAGTAAAGGAAGTGTGCATCCTTGGAATATATGTCCATAGGCCCCTGAGAGTGGCAGGGCATGTAAATAAGGTGGTAAAAACTGCATATGGGATGTTTTCCTTCAGCAGGATGAGATATTCAATACAAAAGCAGGAATGCAATACTGGACCTGTATAAGACAGTGTTTAGGCCACAGCTGGAGTTTTGTGTAAGTTGTGTTCACCACATTACAGGGAGGACATAATTGCTTTAGAGAGAGATTTCAGAGATGATTTATAAGAATGTTAATTGATCTTGAAAATTGCATCAATGAGTGAAGATTGAATAAGCTAGGGCTGCTTTTCTGAGAGGAGTTTAAAGGTGACTTAAATTAAGTGTATTAAATAATGATTGGTTTGGATAGAGTGAACAGGAAAGGCCTGGTTCCCTCAGCAGAGAAGTCAATTACCAGAGGAGCATGGATTTAATGTGATTGGTAAAAGAATTAGAGTACATGAGAAAAAGTTTTTCCACTCACAAGGTGGTGGATGTCTGTAAATCACTGTCCAGTTTAGTGGCTAAGGTAGATCATTTAAAAGGAACTGGATCTGCACCCAAAACACTGTAACCTGCAAAGCTATCGCCAAATGCTGCAAAGTGGAATTAGAAAAGGCAATTACTTCATTCAGCAGGCTCCGATATAATGAGATGATTAGACTGTTTCTGTGCCTTAACATTCATATGGTTCTGTCACATTTATGCATGTTCTTGTCTACATGTGTGCATAATTTCCATTGAGTATAAAACTGTGATCTCATAACCATCACAGTATTTCACAAAGTCTGTAAGAGCAGGAAATTTGGCGGATGGGATGTGTTAATTTGGCTGCAATAGATATTTTCAGTTTCCCAATAATGAGTTGATATAAAGATTAAGTCAGCTGTATTGCATTGCTGGCTTCCTACTTTCAATACATCACAATTTTTCTTTTACTTTTTCATTTTTGATTTGGAACTGAGTTGAAGTTGAGAACTGACCTTTGAACTTTGAACAGCAGCTTTTTTTTAAGAAAAAGGAGAGCAGAAAGACAGATATTTACTGTAGATAACTGTCCTAGAAAGAGAAAGATAAGGTTAATTACTGCTCTAAGGAAACGGTAGACGATTCAGCACTGAGATATTACTATTTTCAGGGACAGCTGATTGAATGTTGAATTGTCAATCAAGGGAGGTATGTTGCTGACCAACCAACCACAGAGAATGT